TAGAGGGTCTTAGGGCTGAATGGTTTGGTTGCTTAGAAACGGCGCTGGGCCGTAGCTGCCCCAACCTTCGGGAGGTTCCAGACAACCAGCCTTTCTTTCTTCATGCCCTCTCGTGCACGGCCCAGCTCCTTGAGGACCCCGACTGGGAGGCCATCGCATGCCAGGATGATTCCTATGTGACCGGTGTAGCTATCGGCTTTGACGAACCGGTGCCTCATCTGCCCCAGGTTTACGACCTTAAATGTAAGTCCCGTAAGCTAGACGAGTCAGATGTCGATTGGCATCGTGAGAACTACTCCTCCGCGAAGGAGACAGCAGACCAGCTTGAAAGGAAGTTCAAGGAGGAGGAAGCCCTGGGACGGATGGCTCCATCCACGCATCCTGTGCTTGAGCAGAAGTATGGGAAAGACAGGGTTCGTATAGCATCCCTAGGTTCCTTGCTTAAACCCGATGGTTCGGCACGGCCCCTTCACGACGGTACACACGGAGTGCAGGTTAACAATAACATAAAATTGCTTAACCAGCAGGTCAACCCTGGACCTAGGGAAGTGGTTCACTTGGTTCGCAGTGCCAAGCAGAGTCAGGAAGCTACCTTTTGCATCACAGGAGATGTGACTGCAGCTCACCGCCTCTTCTTGGTGCGGGAGATGGATTGGCCATTGCTCTGCTGCAAGGTGGACAACAGTTCGCCTGTAGTATGGTACAATAGAGTGGGGACCTTCGGGATCAGCTCCTCGGCCTTCTTGTGGTCGCGCCTCTTCGGGATCATAGGTAGATGTGCAGCCCGATTTCTCTTGACGCTTTGGTTTTACCACTTAGTCTTTGTGGATGACGTCCATGCAAACTTTGCAGGTAAGGATAAGTTTCATCACTTGCTTATGTGGCTAGCATGCTTCGAGATGTTCGGAACGCCATTTGCTTACAAGAAATTCCGTGGCGGGCTCACTTCGGCCTTTGTCGGGTATGAGCTTTCATATCCTGACCAGCGCGTGGGGATTTCAGAGTCCAGAGGCCAATGGCTGCTGAAGTGGATCGCCGAAGCTAGGGCTTCAAAGTTTGTAGTGTCCGTCCGAAGATTTGCAGAATTTCTAGGGCGATTAGGATTTGTATCTAGGCTTCTTGTGTGGTTAAAG